AGAGAGAGAGAGAGAGAGAGAGAGAGAGAGATCCGGCCGGGGATCAAACCCACATGTGCCTGGACTGGGGAATCGAATTAGCAACACTTCGTGCATGGGACGATACTCAACCAACTGAGCCACACCAGCTAGGACACTTATATGTAGTTTTACACTTGTATATAGTTTTACCCACTGCTTCTTAGAACTCTTTTCCAGGAGGTCTTTCATGGTTTCTTTAAAGATAGGTTATATGTACTTTTATTTCCTGTAGATGGTCACAATACTTATCATGCTGTTTATAAATGTGTGATTATTTGCCATTATCCTGGACTAGATTAAAAATGTCTTAAAGACAAGTGTTATGTCTTCTTAATCAATATATTCCCACTGTCTGGCACTATGAGTGCTCAATAAATATTTGTTGAATAATCAAATGAATACTGTCATCAGATTGACACCTAAGAGTTTTAAAAACAATGGAGAATGGGAATGTTGGTTAAAATAAGTATGATAGGTAACATTCTAAGAGAAAAAAAACAAGTAGTATAAGGGGCTATGGACAATTAAAAAGATAAAGATATGAATGAAAAAAAGATATGAATGAATTACTTCATGTACTCAACTCATTCATTCACAAAGCAATTAGGGGAGAAATAGAAAGACACTCAAGCTATCGTACCCATCCTCATGGATGTGTTTTACAATCAAGTGTTGAGGGTCTGGGAGTGGTAAGACCTGATAGACAGTAGGAGTAAGATACTTTGCCATTTAAGAGCAATTCTGAATCTAATATTAAAATATCGGGACAAGTTTAGAAGACCACAAATCAGCTTCCTTTGGTCCACTCACTTTTGCAATCTAGGTCTACCAGCAGCAGCTCTCAAACTTTAGTGTGTATAAAGAACACTGGGGATCTTGTTAAAGGTGGGGAAAAATCCCCCAGGAATCCTGATTCTGTGGGTCCAGGAATGTGCATTTTTAATAAGCATCCCATTGGATTATGATGCATTTGGTCTGTAGAGCAGAGTATACTACTGTAAAGTCCTTAGTCATTCACGTCATAATTTTGCCATATCTGAATTACACTTATAATATCTTAGCCTTATCCTAAGCAAGAAGTTTGTTGACTTATTTTTATAATACACATGAAATAAATATATAACTATTAAAAAGTCTGTCTGTATATACGAGTAGATGGGAAAGTTTGAGGAGCATTGCTCAAGAGTTTATGCTCTGTAAACATCACATACTGCATGAAATCTAATGACACAAATTATAACCAAAAATTCCAGGATAGTGAAGTTCAACAGAATTGTGCTGCAGGAGAGCTCATGTAGATACTCTGGTACCTTTAATGGACTATAAAATAATCCAAAAATGTTTTTAAAAATTAATGTTCTAATTATTACAAAATGACTTGCTATTTTTTTAAAAAAACCCACTTTTACATTGAATTTTTATTTTAAAGAATACTTTGCCTTTTATTCTGGTACACCTGAGCCAACTCCCAACAGTTAAGGCATCAAACTTAAAAGTAGCAAGCAGTTGGAACAAAATGAAGATTGGTCTGTGCTCCTGATCCACAATAAAATATATATCCACTTTATTTAAAATCACATTTGATTAAGACTGATAATTGAGTTCAAAGATATAAACTTGATAGCTCCCTTCCTTTTCCTTCAACCCTAAAATAATTTATAATAATAGGAAAAATAATATGGCAAAAAGATCAGAGGAATCATTGCAGCTCAGAAAGGCCTATTCCTTAAAGGCTTTGGCAACTTGCAACTACAAACAGAAAAGAGAGCTGAAACAGAAAACGGTCACCAAATGAAAGACTGTGCTGATAATAAGCCTTTAAGCACAATATTCTGCTCTAAATTGTGTGTTTGCTTAAATGGCTAAGAAAATCAAGCTCTATCTAAATATTTGAGTGGATGGTTTTGAATACCACCTTGTTACTGTGTCAAAAGCCAGTTCCATGCATTTAATCTCTAGTCACCTGGAACAAGAACATAGATGAATGGCCATGGTCCTTGATCTCTACATCACTTAAGTCAATTGGAACTGTACCTGCCGACTCACTGATGTATAAAGCACTAGATCGTGTTTGGATGAAAGGATTATTGCAATCATCTCCTAACTAGCCTCCCTGCTGCCACCTGTTCTCTACAGTCTCTTCTCCACAGGGGCAGCCAGGGAAACCCTGTCAATATGTCAGATCAGTCCCTCTTCTGCTCAAAACGCCCAGTTCCTGCCAGAATAAAAGCCCAAATCTTTTGAAGGGCCCCCAGGCCCCCCAATACACAATCACCTCATCCCCAAGCTCAGCTCCTCCTCCTCTCCCTTTGCTCACTCAGCGCCAGCTCAATCGCTTCTTTGCTGTTCCTTGAGTTCACCAGGCACATTCCAGACCGGGGGGCCTTTGCACTCGCCGTTCCTTCTGCCCAGACATATGCAGTTCCTCCCGCACATCCTCACCTGGCTCTGCTGCATCACCTCCTCCGGGTCTCTGCGCCAACAGCGAGCTCCCGGAGCGCTCTCTCCCGCAAGCACGGGACTGCCACCTCCGCACCCCCCAGCATGTCCTAGCCACTTTCCCTGCTCTGCTTTTCGCCACCGCACCTGTCACTGACCTTCTGCACCTCTTATTTGTTTCCCAGAGTGGGGACTTCTGCTGGGTGACGACTGCCTCTTGCTTTGTTCACTGTCCCATCTCAGGGCCAAGTACCGTGCCTCGCGCGCGCACACAGATGTTCAGCAAATATTTGCTCAATGAACAAACGGTAGGACACCCATGTTGGGGGTTTTGCAACCTTCACTCTATGAAGGGCTGCAAATAAGAGCTGGTGGCTATCCTCCAAACGTCCAGACAGCACCTGGGGTCTAGCAACTTACACGCATCGCCTTTTGTCTGGTGCATCGTTCCCTCTGATTTTTCTTAGATAGCAAGGCAGCAGCAAAATGCCTAACGTGTGCAAGGAAGAAGCAAACCAATCATGCATGAGACCGATCTGGGGCGATTCGAGTCTTATCCGCAAGCCAACAGCGAACGTGCCCTTTGCACGGACAGTTTCTCCTCCTAAGCCCGGGGAAATGCGCTGTGTGTTTGTTGTCTGCTGGAGGGCGGGGAGGGGGTCGGTGAGCCGCGGAGGCCCGTGCACCTTCTTGCAGAACGTCAACTCGCGTGCAGCCCAACTTACTTTTTTGGGGGGTGGGCCTCGTTCAGGGGGGGAGGTTAGTGTGTGTTTCTTCCTCGCCCTCTGAGGTTCCTATTGTGCTGTGTCTTGCGAATGAGAGGAGGAGGAAGAGGAGCGGGGGGCGAAGGGATGCTGGGCGCGCCTACAACTGCCTCCCGGCACAAAGTCGGGGAGGCGAGGGCTCGGCGCGG